TTTTTAATCCTCACCTGAGGACATTTTTCCATTTTTTGTTTAGGTAGAGTGGGAGGGAGAGAGAGGAACAGAGAGAGAGAGAGAAACATCGATGTGAAAGGAACACATCGAGTGGCTGCCACCCACACAACTGACTAGGGCCGGGGACAAACTGCAACCGAGGTACGCGCCCTTAAAGGGAACTGAACCCAGGTCTCTCAGGACCGCAGGCCGCCGCTCTAACAACTGAACCAAACCGGCCAGGGCTGATTTCTAAATCTTCTTAATCACTGATCCGGTTCTCAGCTTCTTCTAGTCTGCTCTTTTGGCCTTCCAATGTGTTCTTTATTTCTGCTATATCATTCTTCATTTCTTCTTGGTGGTTTTTTATTTTCAGTTGGTTGATTTTCAATGTTTTTATGTTTTTACTCATGGTGTTAATGTCCTTACTCATTCTGTTGAGCTTCCTTAACATCATGGCTCTGAAATCTAGCTCTGTCAACTTACTTAACTGCATTTCATTTATCTCATCTTTGGTAGAGGTCCCTTGTTCTTTCATTTGGGATTTGTTTCTTTGTTTCACCATTTTGGCTATCTCAGTGGGTTTGAGAGCCTGCCAAATTTTCCCTGTGGATATTGGTGTTCTGCTGTTTGTGGTTCCCTCTACTGGGTTTGGATGAGCGTGGGAGGACCCACGTTAAACACCACTATCAAGTCTAACTTTCCTGGGTAGAGTTGCAAAGCTAGGAACAGTTCAGTTATCCTCTAGCTTTTTGCCTAGAGGCCATTAGTCACTGGTTACTTGAAGTGCCTTGGGTTGTCAGTTGAATGAAAAACTCCTTCAGGTGTTCAGTGTAAGGGAATTTCTTGAGGATGGGACAGATGCTGGCTGTTAATGAGCCTCAATTTGCATTTCAATTGCCTACCTGTGGGGCTGAATCTCCGAGGGAGGGCTGCTGCCTCTTTCCAGAGCCCTAGGAAATAGTAAGATGGCCACTGTCCTGCATGGCTGAAACTCAGCAAAAACTCTGAGTGACCTCCAAATCCCAAGTGTCCCCACACAGTTTTAGTCCAGTCCACCCTCCCCCTGTCGGAGCCCAAGGTGAGTGGCTATGGCTATTTTAGCATCTGTCCCTGCTCTCTGCATGGTGGAGTGGGGTTGGAAGTTTAATCCCGAGGGCACTGCTCACAGCTAAGACTGCTGCTGTCTGTGGGCTCCCCTTCCCTACCTCACACCTCCACAATTCTACCAGGATTGATTCAGTGTCCCTGGTAATATGGTCCTCGCAAGCTGCTTTTCTGTTGCTTTTTCACGTCGATTTGTCTTTATTTTAGTTGTAATTCCAGTTTGTTCCTGGGAGATGGTCTGTGTAGTTTCCATTCACTCTGCCGCCATTTTGGAATCCCTTCTCTCTCTCTCTTCTTTATTATTTATTTCATTAATTTACTTGCTTTTGTTACAGATGTTTCTCCCTTTTCCCCCATTGACATCCTCCTCCCAATCCCCACCCCCACTATAGTAGTGATTTTTAACAGGTATGCCTCAATAATTGTTATAACATGCCATACCTGACTATTTAGTTAGGAGCACTGACCTCTTTTCCCTTAGACTGTCATTTAAAAAAAGACAACAGGCCCTGGCCAGTGTGGCTTGGTTGGTTGAGCACTGTCCTGTGCACCAGGTGGTTGCAGGTTTGATTCTCCATCAGGACACATGCCCAGGTTGTAGGCTCCATCCCCAGTAGGGGGTGTGCAGGAGGCCGTTGATACATGTTGTGCTCTCACACTAAGTTTCTCTCTCTCCCTCTCCTTCTTTCTCTTGCTCTAAAAATTAATAAACTATTCTTTTTAAAAAAAAAAAATTACAACAGCCAACACAATAGCTGTCTGGTGTGAATAAATCAAAATTATACCCTTTTTTGTCAGATTGGCAAAAAAATATAATATTTTTTGATGTGTCATAGAATTTTGTTGTTGTTGTTACTCCTCATTCAAGGATATTTTTCCATTGGTTTTTAAATAGAGTGGGAGGGAGGGAGGGAGGAACATTGATGTGAAAGAGATACATTGATTGGTTGCCTCTGCATGACCCTGACCAGGGCTGGGGATTGAACCTGCAACCTAGGTATGTGCCCTTGACTGGAAATTGAACCTGAGACCCTTCAGTCCACAGGATGATGCTCTAACCACTGAGCCAAACCAGCCATGCTGCAGAATTTTAGTAATTGCTTTATGTGTGCCATGAGATGGAAAGGTTGAAAATCACTGGTGTAGAGAATGGATTGGATTGGGGCAAAACCTGGAGACAGCATAACAGTTAAGAGACTTTTATAATAATAAAGGCAATAGATGATAAATGTCTTAACAAGGGAAAAGGCAGGGAGATGTATAGAGATGGGTGGTTTTGAGAGGGATTTCTGAGTTTGAATAAACAGGATCTCTCCATTCATGGGATAGGAAGGAGTTGGTGTGGAAGGAAGACCTGGAGGTTCTGAATTGCCTGTGTTCATCCAGGTTGAGCTCTTCAGTGGGCAGTAATTAGAGCATGCTCCACCAATACTTGGGAAAAATGACTCAGGGTTTTAGTTAGGAAAGAATATTTTTTAAAATATGTTTTTATTGATGTTAGGGAGAAAGGAAGGGAGAGGGAGAGAAATATTAATCGTCTGCCTCCTGCACACCCCATATTGGGGATCAAGCCCACAACCTGGACCAGAAAATGAACTGGGACCTCTCAGTTCATGGGACAAAGCTCAACCAGCTGAGCCACACTGGCAAGGGCTGGAAAGAATATGTTTTGAAAAGAATATTCTTGAGCCACAGTCTAATCTACTGAATGGGTATTTCTGAATGGTATCTGCAAAGGGATGGAGACAAGAGAAAATATTTTATGGAGGAAGAATGAATTTGGTAAGTCTAGCCCTGGCCAGTTTTGCTCAGTGGTTAGAGCATTGTGTTCGATTCCCAGTCAAGGTCAAATACCTGGGTTGCTGGTTCAATGATCCCTGCCCCAGTTGGGGTCATGCGGGAGGCAACCAATTGACGTGTCTCTTTCACATCGATGTTTATCTCTCCCTCCCTCCCTTCTATTCTATCTGAAAATCAATGGGAAAATACCCTTGGATGAGGATTGACAACAACAAGAAATACTTAAACACACACACACACACACACACACACACACACACACAATTTGGTAAGGCTAGTATACTCTCCTGTAAAAGAATGGAATGTGAGGCGATAAAGTTTGAAGGATGCAGATTGTCATCGGGGGGCTCATCAGATAAAAGAAGAGATTTATTGTGTTAAAATGTCAGATAATACTTTGTAAGATTTTAAGTAGAAAATTGATATGATTAAATTTGCATATTTAGACAGATTTCACTAGTGATAGTATAAAGAAAAGATGGAGAGAAGTCCAGGAGAAAAATTGTGGAAATTTGACATAAAGGATGAGTGAAGTTGGAGGAGTGGGGATATAGGTGAGAGACCTTTAAGACATGGCATCAATAGAATTTGAGAACAAGTGTAGAAGATGAGGGAGCTTTGTATCTCTTGAAATTATGAAGTCCAGAGAATTTTGCCAGCAGAGCTTTCATGATACCACTGTTTCGTTCATTCATTCTATGAATGGCAGCCATTCACATCAGAAACAAATAAACTTTTAGGAGGGCCTGGGAGTGGGTGCAGAGACTCTGGGCCTCCAAGCTGGCTGAGTCCTGTCTCCCGCTGCCAATGGCACAGATCCTTGCACACGCTCCGGGAGCATGAATCCTTAACCTCACAGCAGACCCTTGCACTCAGTGGCGCTCTGACCCAGTTTTGCTCCAGACATCCTCTAAAGTAGTGTCTTCCACACCTGCCACGCTCAGAAACAGATTCCTGTTCCCATGCCCTAATTTTGAAACAGACTGGGGGCCTGGGGAGCTGGTGAGAGTGTTGAACTCTACGGGCACACCAGGAAGGTGCAGCTCCACAGGGCTCTGTGAAAGAAATCTTAACCATCTGGCACATTCTTCTGGCTCCTGGCAAGGTGAATTATTTGCCCACTCCCAACCTCCCTTGCTCTTTCCATCTCCAGTCTTTTGCACATGCCTGGGTTGCGGGTTTGATCCCCAGTGGAGGGCATGCAGGAGGCAGCTGATCGATGTGTCTCTCTCATCGATGTTTCTATTTCTCTCTCCCTCTCCCTTTCGCTATCTCTAAAAATAAAATATATATATATTTTTAAAATAGTGCTAAACATGTAGGAGGCAAGCAGTCTCAATAAGCTGTAGAGAAATAAAGAACTAAAATAAAAGCAGTATTTAACTGATAAATATTATTAATATAAAACAGTGATTTTTAACCAGTGTGCTGCAAGAATTTTTAAAACATGCAATGCCTATTTAGTCAGGGGCACTGACCTCTTTCCCTGAGACTGTCAAATAATAAAAAACAACAACAGCCAACACAGTAGCCATCCTGTGTGAATGAATCAAAATTATACCGATTTTTTTGTCATATTGGCAAAATATAATATTTTTTTGGTGTGTGCCATGAGATAAAAATGGTTGAAAATCGCTGATATCGAGCTTGGGCAGTATCTCCTATCTTCTCTGTATCTCCATCTCTTGGTCTATAAAATGGGAGTAGGCATAGTGTCCACTACACAAGAATTATATATATAAACAAGTTAACATGAGCATAGAGTATGAGAACATGGCCTGCACACATACTAAGCATTCAGCGAATGTAATCATTTTGCTATTATGTATTATGCTATGTTCAGATGCAAACCCACTATGATGTTATTTCTTAGCTACCTGAGTGACGAAGATGTAAAAACATCACTCCTAAGCAATCATAGGAAAATGTTTCAGGATTTTTTTTTCAACAATGCACTAACCAAGAAATATCTTTCTACAGAGCATTAGAAATATATTTTTTCAAGATATCAAGGTATAATGGCAGATGGCTGTTGATTTTCCTCCTGGTAAAAGGCACTTCTTCAAAGAATTTATTTCAAATTATTTCCACAGATATGATGGCCATGCAAGACCTCCTGTGTCTGTGAGAGGCACTGCTGTGGTAAGTAACTAAAGGAATTCAGAATTAATGTTGTTCCTGGTTGGCTACCTATTTAAATATGGCTCAGCTTTAAATTTACTTAAAAGGCTTAGATTTCTCCTAGAGAGTTCAAAGTTTTCCATTTGTGGTTGGTTTCTACATGGTTGGTTTCTGGTACTGGAATGCTCAAACAGCAGGCTCTGCCAGGGAGGAATGAGGCCACTGCATGTCCAGTCACACCACCAGTGGCATCTTTGATATTTTACCATGTCACTCTGTACAGCACTAAAGCGTTGGGCAGAGGAAGAGGCAAGAGGCATCACTGCCACATTTGCAAGCTGGAGTGGGTCTGGGCTGGCCCTTTTCTGGGTTTGATCATCATTTGTATTCAGAGAGGAAGCTGCTGATATGTGGGATGCATTTGGCGGGAACGAGTTCACGTGAGGTTACTGACCCAACATGACTCTGCCAAGAGCGTAGACTTAAATCTGTCTCTGTGTTCATATGCTTATGAGATTGAGAAGCTGGTAAGTTTTCTGTTTCTTGTTTGTTTCATGGTCTTACCTTTGGTTCTACATGTGCTCTGTCTTTCTGTAACTCATGGTCTGGAGGTGAAAGAATGAGAATTGTAGAAGAGACTTAAGAGTACAGTAGGAGGGTAGAGGTATCCTTTAATTCATTGTGGTCTTGGTACTCGTACCTACCTTTCTCCTTCTCTCCTTTGTTTTTGTTTGTTTGTTTGTTGCAAAAAGCATGGGGTAGGATTCTGGTGAGGAATGCATATAAACAGAGGTCCTTGCCCTTTCTCCTTCAAAGTAATGCTGCTCCTTTCCTTCTTTCTGTATGACACTGAAGCCTCCCCGTCTCCTTTATATGCTTGAGCCCAGCAATGACACCAGCCAGCACCAGCTGCCACGCGCTAATGGAGAGCTTGCTATCATCCAGGCACTTGACACTGATCATTTCATTTAATCCCCACAGGAAATGTGTAACATGCCCATTTTAAAGATGAAAAAGCTGAGGTTTTGAGAATTTAAGGATCATGCTCAAGGTCACTGGTCAGTGGTAGAGTCAGGATTAGAAAATCTGGGTCTCTGTAACTCCACAGCCAGAAGTTAATGATGTGTCCAGCTGTGTCAGCCCCAAAGCCTGTGCATGAGCCCCAGTTGTTCTGTACTGGCAGGCTCTCCTTTAGCTGAGCAGTGGACTGAGGTGGCACGCACAGAGCTTTGCTCTCTAAGAGGACAGAGCCCTGCTCCAGGACGCTTCTGTACTGTCGCTGTTCCTTGGAGAAGTGCACAGGCTCACGACCTCTACCATTTGAGAGCCATGGCATCTGAAGTAGATGAATGTAAAAAGAAATACAAATGCCTAGAAGTTATAAAACTTGGGATTGTCAGGATTTGAAAATTCAATCTGAGGATTAATAGATTTCTTTCTTTGGCACTCTTGATTGTTGCTTATATTTAACTATTTCACTGCTGTCGATCTAAAAAGTAAGAGCTGAGAAAATAGATGCAACACGTGACACTGTTGATCTCAGTCAATAACTTTTATATAAGTAAGAGGGAGAAAATAATGAAACTATTGTCTAAGTCAAAGGTTTTGTATGATATGTAGATTCCGTTATTTATTCATGGAAACCCTATCCCCTTAACCCTGCAGAAAGCTGGAATTTGGCTGTTGATGCTATAGGGATTCTTGCTAAGGTTTAAGGTAATGAACTTCCCATCACTTGGTTGGCAGCCTGGTAGGAATAGCAAAGAGGATTCTACTATTTTATAGGAGATTGTACTACATTTTTAGATAAGCTTCCACTCAAAAGAGAAGAAAGCTATTTAAACATTTGCTTTAGTTTAAAATAAACAAAGGGTTTGAGAAAACACAAAGAGAAATTGAGTTTCTCTCAGCCTCAGCACTACTGCTCTTTTGGGCTGTATCATTCTCTGTTGTGGGGCTGTCCTGCGTATTGTAGGATGTTTAGTAGGATCCCTGGCTTCTACCTACGAGACGTTCCCCAGACAGTTGTGACCATCAAAAATATTTCCAGCCCTGTGCTGGCTGGTTTGGCTCATCTGTTAGAGCACCAAAGGGTTGAGGGTTTGATTCCCAGTCCTGGACTGTGTAGAAGGCAGCAAATCAATGTCTCTCTCACATCAATGTTTCTCTCTTTCTCCCTCCCTTCTACTCTATCTAAAAATCAATGGAAAAATATCCTCAGGTGAGGATTAACAACAACCACCATATATATACACATACATATATCTCCAGCCCTGGCTGGTGTGGCTCAGTTTGTTGGGCATCATCCCATGCACTAAAAGGTTGCTGGTTCGATTCCTGCTCAAGGCACATGCCCAAGTTGCATTCTCGATCCTCAGTAGGGGGCATGCAGGAGGCAGCTGATTTATGTTTCACTCTCACATCAATGGCTCTCTCTCTCTCTAAAAAAATCAATACAAATATTTTCTTTTAAAACCTCTAGAAGTCACCAAATGTCCTTGTAAGTAACAAATTGCTGCCTATGAAGAACCATCTCCTTACAGATGAGGAATCCAAGGTAAAAGTGGTCACCATCAATGAGAATAGAAACAAAACATATGGCCTTGGCCACCTGATCACTCCTCAACTCTAAACAAATTTTGGTGGGGCCTACTGTCTGGGGATATGCCAGCTCTGGACCTCTAGAAACACCCCTCCAATGCACTTACTACTCTGGGCCAGTGTGGTTCCTTGAGGCCAGGACAATCTGCTCACCTGTGTAGCCCCACTGCCTGGAACAACCTGAACACTCAGAGATTGAAAAAAAGAAATAAATGAGTGGTTTTAAGCCACAAGTGCACTGGTGAATTTGACCTTTGCTGAAATCAAACCCAGAACAAATTCAGGAACACCTTAAAATTTTACTTTGTTGACTGTACCAAGGCATTTAATAATATCAGTGAGCTTAGACTTCTGCTCCTATAGTTCTGCAGGTTTGGCTGCCCCAGGAAGTTTTCAAATAGTTTAAGGTTATTCTTTGACAGGTTTGTCTGTTGTCTCGTCATGTCAGAATTACAAACATCAGTCGAGTGAATTCGGATTGGTTAAAAGGCCTAATTATGTGCAGCCTATTTTATGTGCCATGCTTGATAACGTAACTTAGATCCTAAAAGCCAGCATTTGGAGACTCTGGCCTCTAACCCTGTGGAACATTTTCCTAACTCTTTAGTCTGAAAGCATCATCAGTCTTCCAGGAAAGCCTCTGAAACCACAGAATAGTCATGACTAACAAGAAGGAGTTACTGAGTGCTGAACACCATTCTAAACTGTTCTACAACTATTAATTCATTTCATTTTATGAGATCGGGGGGGGTGTTGCTGCTGTTATTATAATTTTTCTTTTCATTTTACCAGAAAAGAAACTAAGGTATTTAAAGGTTACGTAACTTGCCCAAAGTTATACAGCTACTAAGAGGCAGAACCAGGATTTGGACCTCTGTACAACTCATGTGTTTAACCATTATACTTTCCCACTTTGGACATTCTTTTCTGAGTCCTAATATTGTGAATTTCAGAGGCTCAATTTCTGTAATAATCTTTACTAGAAATTTTATAAATTTAATTTTTTTTTCTTTTTCTTTTTTTTTTATCCTCATCCGAGGACATTTTTCCATTTTTTGCTCAGATAGAATGGGAGGGAGAGAGGAAGAGAGAGAGACAGAAAGAAACATCGACATGAAAGGGACACATCAAGTGGCTGCCATGCGCACAACCCAACCAGGGCCGGGGACAAACTGCAACTGTGGTACGTGCCCTTAGCGGGAATTGAACTCGGATCTCTCTGGACCGCAGGCCAACGTCTAACTGCTGAGCCAAACTGGCCAGGGCTATTAATTTAATTTTCTACCTTGGTATATTGTAAATCAGTCCATAGTAGTGTGCATGGAGGGTATGGAAGGTTTAAAGTGAGCTTCCTGTCTACAAAGAGCTTACATTACAAATACATACATTAGTAAAACAACAGTAAAAAGCAACATAGTGGTAAGATCAGGGTTAGAGATCAGATCATATAAGTGTGAGTAGCGAGAAGATGGTGGCAGGCAGGACCTGAGGGAGGGTGAGTGTGTGAGAGAGTGAAAGTGGACGTGAAGGTGGATGACAAACCCAAGCTGTGCAGAGCCATGGAGCAGAAAGTTCCTGTGCTGTGGACAGGAGCAGCCAGCTACCGCGGTAAGCGGCCCTTCAAAGCGCTTCTCCCTGCGCCATAGGGAGGTCCCACCATTTTGGAAGATCCTGAGTCTTCCCTGGGAGGAGGCAGTGGGATCGCTAGGACCCAGCAACCTGAGCCCACCAGCACACCTGGCACCATGGGACAAGTGGACACCCTGTGTCAACACAGACCAGTGCACAGTAGTGGAGCTGCCAAGGTACCAGGCACAGAAGCCGCAGACAGCCCAGAGCCCAGCACCATCCCCCATAGTAGCAGCCTGATCAGAATGGAGAGATACCCCCAACAACAGAGGCTGGGGAGCAGACATCCATTCCCTGGCAACAGAAGCACAGACCAGCAGCTGAGACCCATTCCCAAAACTACAGCAAAAGCTGAGCAGGAGTTGAGCCACACGGGGCAGCAGCACTCCCCAGCACCAGCTGCGGGACCCTGGGCTCCACAGAGGCCTGTGTGGATCAGCAGCTCACAAGTGCAGTGGGAAGCCTGAGCCCCAGAGAGACTGGTGCAATCCAGCTACCCATCCCCCGGAACTGCAGGGTGCAGGGGCACCAGAGAGGCCTGTGCAACCCAGCAGGGACAGTGCGATCTAGTTACCTGCAGGACATGCAGGGTGCTGAAGCACCAAAGAGGCGTGTGCGACCCAGCAGCCCATAACATAGGCATAGAGCCAGATCCTCAAAGGGACTGTACGATCCAGTTACCCATGGGACCTGCAGGGTGCAGGGACACCAGAAAGGCCTGTGCTACCCAGCTGCGCACAACATAGGCCTAGAGGATGTAAAAATGGAGGCTGAGTGAATAGAAGCTACAC